GTGTTCTCGGTTGAAGCCTGACAAGGAACATTGATATTTAAATCAAATTTTATAATAATAATAATACACAATAATAATTCTTACCTCGCCCATGATTTAGTCATAACAGTAGGTGCGGATAAAAGACTTTCGACAAATTTTTTCAATTTTGGAAATATTTCTCCTTCTAAGAAAAACCTGGCGAACCACTTGTAACTGACTAATGTAGACGTTAATGGAATTTTAATGGTGGGTAATGTAAAAGCTGCCCTTCCTGATACAAAAAAAAAAAAAAAAAAAAAAAAATGTAATAAAATATTATTTGTTTTCTCTCTTGAATATATACGATAATAAAAAAAAAAAAAAGTTTTTTAAACGCTAAATACCAAAAGTTCCATTGACGTGGCAATTAATTTTACCGGGGGCTGAATCATAAGACGGAGGAGGTTCCTGCAAAGGTTCCGATAACGTGCACAAGTAGGGGGCGAAAGTTGGAAGCCATTCGGGTTCCACCGCGGTCACTCCTAAATAAATATAATTTCGATATTAATTTTCAAATTTCATAGAAAAAAAAAAAAAAAAAAAAATATTAATTTATTTTTACCTCTCATGTAAAGTTTATTCGTTTCGTAAACCTCTTGATAAACAATCCATTCCGGCATGTCTGTTTTTAATACGGATGCCGAGTGTAAAAACACGGGACTTTCCATTTCACTGTCTCTGTAAGCTTTCCTCCATTTTCTTTTTTCTTCATTGTCTTTGATTTCGTCTGGATTTACTTTGCGAGCCACGTGATCCGTTAAACCGGCTAACATAATTTGCCTTAATAATTTTGCCTGAAAATGAATAAAACAAACGAATTAAATCTAAATTTATAAAATGTTATCAAATTTTAACACTTACTTCCGTATCCGTAGGAGGTTTCAATTTAGGATCCAGAATTAAATTTAAATCGGGAACGTTTAGATTTATCTGATTCGTCAATTGAATTCTTAATTTTCTTATTTCTTTAATTGCTTTTAATCTTAATCCGTTTTTTAAACAAAATTCTTTTAAATTATTTACAGAATATTCAGCCGCACCGACAACTCGAAGCAAAACCATAATATCACCTAAAATTTTTTTTGCAAAGAATTTTTAACCTATTCGTCTTAAAATATTTTTTTTTTTTTTTTTTTTTTTTTTAATATATCCGTGAGGAAATATTTTATTATACCTAATAGAAATGAGTTTCCTGAGCCAGCCCAGTTTCTTCGAATTTCAGACCATTTATTTCCTTCTCTATCATCTAAAAAAATTTCATTAACGCTTAATGCAGACACTATGCTTATTGTGTAGGGCAAAAGGTTATGTTGATAACTAAGAGCAAGCATTTTTGCAAATCGTGGAGAAACGGGAAAACTCGCCATCGTTTCGCCAAGTTTACTCAATTTAGAAGACCATTCATCTATAAAAAAAAAAAAAAAAAAAAAGTAATACAAATTTTTCAATATGCCTAAATTATAAAATTGCAATTATTACTTTGTATACCTTTTTCACATGTACTTTCTTCCAATGCTCCTAAAATTTTCAATCGTTTTTCTCCTGATTTAAGTTGAAGCAAATCCGGAGCGGTAGGAAATGGAAAATTCATTACTTTAACTATGTTCATAGCTTTCATTTGTAAAATTAAATCGTCAACCGGTTTTAATTGAATTTCCGGTATGGAATATTCTGGGAATTCATCGTTGAAAACTGCAGACGAATACAACCTAATTGACATAAAATCCCAAATTATTAAAAAGCATAAAATTAAAATTGAATTGTTTTATAATAATATATAGCACCTGTAACAATATCCTGGACCGATTCTTCCAGCTCTACCTGCTCTCTGATTTGCTGATGCTTTTGAACACCAGGTAATTTCAAATTTTGTCACTCCGGTGGTTTTATCATACAGTTTTGTTTTAGTTTTACCACTATCCACAACGTATTTTATATTTGGAATTGTTAATGAAGTTTCGGCAACGTTTGTAGATACGACACACAATCTGCATCCTTCAGGAGGTTTTTTAAACACCTGATAGTAATAATTTTTTAACGAAAATAAATTACGTAAGTAATAACGAAAAATACGTTTATTAAAAAATTAAATAAAATTTCATAGATTTCAATTATTAATTTTTGACCTTTGCTTGATCTGCAGAAGAAAGTAATGAATACATTGGTAAAACCCATAATGGTTGTTGTTGTGCAATTTTTATAACATCGACAGAACTATCTAAATCATTGTTAAAAGGGTCTAAATCATCATCATCTTCTAACATTTCCAACTCCGTGTCGTCGTTAGGTACGACTGAATACCTGATTCACAAGTGAAAATATAAATCAAATCGAAAATTAAAGTAAAAAAAAAAAAAAAAAAAAAAAAAAAAAAAAAA